CTATTGTGAAAGATTTGTAACGGCCAAAATACACTAACATTAGAGATCTGATATTTTAAACATCTTTCAAACTACATTTGATTCGGATTACGTTTATCGACACAATGACTCGTGATGCCTCTTTTAATCCCACAATTTAAGAGTATGTAAGTGTTTAGCATTGTATTCATGCTCTGTCTGTCTCTCTCACTCAGGGGCATTGTCTGTATTCAAGATTGTGACAGTGGGTGTAGTGATAACCATGTAGGCTGCACTCGAGCAGGGCTTTACAAGAGAGGGAACAGTGGGGATATGCAGACTGGAGTCAGAGGCCCATCCATTAACTTGACAGGCTGCAGAAGCTGCCAAGAGTATGAGCGCATGCTTTGGAGCACACTTCTCAGTGGGCGTGTGTCTTGCTGCACCCATACTGCCACGGTTCCTCCGAGCACCACCGGAACGTCTAGCCCTGGCTGAACAGTCAGTCTATGTCCATCTCCATGTCTGTGTCTGGAACCACAGGGAAGCTCTGATCAGCTTGGCCCAGAACCTGAGAGAGGAGAGAGGGGGCGATATTACAGCCCAGCACTCCCATCAGACTGTCTGCCTCACTGTTCCCTGAGGAAATCAGTTTAACAGTCCCCAGCTCTTGGCAAGCAGAGGGAGAGGGGGTGGAGGAAAAGGCAAGAGGTGTTCGCGTTTGTGTGTGTTGTTGTGTGTGTGTTGTTGTGTGTGTGTGTGTGTGTGTGTGTGTGTGTGTGTGTGTGTGTGAGAGAGAGAGAGAGTGAGAGAGAGAGAGTGTGTGAGTGAGAGAGAGAGAGGGGGTGGTAGATGTTACTGCCTCTCTGGGTGAGAGGGAAATCTAATAAAATTGAACTAATGGGGGTATGGGCTTTTTAGGGGACAGAGAGTGGGTTTGTAGACAGGCACTGGTGGGTAGTGCTGGCGGTGGAGATGAGGAGGATGGAACAGGATCCGTGGAGTGCTTGGCGAAGCAGCAGAGCCAAACTCCTGCTTTCAGCTGCAGATGGTGAACCCGGGTCGGGTTTAGAGTGCAAGGTAGGGGGGCCGAGGCATATATAAAATACTCCCGGAAAGTTACAGCTTTGATATATTATGCAATTAGAAATGCTGTGTGCTTACTCACGATCACTGTGCTTGCCTGATGTTAACAAAGAAGCTGACAGTGAGAGACAGAAGCTTTAATGTTTCTCTGCAGACCCTTAAATGTGAAGCGAAAGAGCACCATTTGAATCTTTGATCTTTTTGCAGTTGAACTGTGACTCCACAGACTGATCAAATCTTTCAAACCTACTGTGAGGCGCCAGAGGGCCACAGGTCCCCTGATAGTACAATGCTCCACTTTTAAGGGGAATAAAAGTGCTCACCCTGACCTTGCTAGGTTTGATTTACCCATCCTTAGGCAGGCGTGGTCTCTTCCCTTTGTACCTGCTTCATGATCATGGTTTCTCCTCCCAGGGTTAATAGACATGAAGTCATCTGGTGAGCAGAAACCTGAGTGTGTTCTCAGGATGTGCCCAGAGCACTCACAGGGACATCACTCAAAGCCCCTGTGTCAGAGAGGACACAGCCATTAATAAATATCATTAATGGATGATCACCTGGTATCCCTGAAACCACATAAATGAGAGAGGCCTAAAAAAAGGAGAGGGAGTGGAGAGGTCAGGGGGCAAAGGTCTGAGAGGAGATAGCTCCCCTCTGGGCAAAAGATGGCTGAATCAGGGATGGTGGAAAATCAATAGCACTGCTACTTTCAGTATACTGTCAGAATGCGTGTATTTATGCTGCTACTATATAAAAATTATTGTGAAGGAAGCTGACCACTTTCTAATGGTGTCACGGAGACTTCATTTTCCTGTTGCAACTTGGCAGCAGGGCAGACGGTGGTAGAACAGGATGCATACCGTCCCATCTTTGAGCGCTCTGCACAGCCGCAAGCTAACACCTGCACTGATTTAATGACTGTTTTCTGTGGCAGCCATGTTGCTGCAGGAGAAATGTATATGTTTGTGTGTGTGTCATTAGAGTAAAATGCACATGGTGGTTAAGTTCTTGTGCTTAGCACAGTCTGGGGAAATACAACCATGTGTTAAAGAGTCATTAAGGGGCTGATGAAGGTGTTTGAGAATCACAGCCTGCTCATCATCACTCTGCTAACGTCCCTTAGTTGCGTCACTGTGGTTCTGGATACAAAGACTTAAGTTTTGGCTGAGCTGGGTTTAACTGAGCTGTGTCTCGACTTCAGATGCAGGAGAGGTAGACACTTGTACAGAGCTAGCTTCAGGAATAGGGTTATATCACGGTAAGGGTTTTCTCTTTTAACTGTGTCCTTTTCTTTAAACCTATCAGTTTAAGGTGGTGCATTTATATATTCATACTGCCTATTTAAAGAGCTGGATATTCCATTATTCATCATGTAAGTGGGAAGGTCCTGCCAGCTAATCCAGTCAAAGAGAGTGGTTTAATTTCTATGCGTGTACTAAAAATTTAAGTTGTATGTTGTCAAGATTTTTCTGTAGTTCTTTGATTGATTTTGTTATGTGTAATAGCTATGCTGTCTCTGTTGAACTGTATTATATTAACTTGTGTTGCATTACATTCAGTTACTTTTGTACTTTGTTGTGTATATAACCATCGCCACTAAGGCTTGTGCATCGGCCCCTTGGCTCTTTGACCTGCAGTCCCTCTGTACTTTGACACTCGCAGGCCGCTTTGAATGCAGGCTAATTGAATTAATATACAGATAGTGCCAGCTGGACAGCTCGCTGAGACGCTGACAAATGACTAATTGCTGTTTCAGGCTAATGGTGTGTGGGGAAGAGACACTGGAATCCATCTAATCTCTTCCCACCTCTAGTCTTTGTCTCTCTTAATACTCCCCTTCACCATTTATGCTCTCTGTCTTCCACCTGGCGTCCTCCCTTTCTAGAAGGGAGTTTCAGTGACACCAAAAGAGCATCTTACCGGCCATCAGCTTACTAAACGTCTTATAGAGACTACAAAGGTAGACATGCTGCCAGCAAACTCCTCTGGCTTCTATTCATTCAGGTGATTCCCTGCTTGAGTGGCAGGAGCTTGCCAGACCTTGATTGGTTTTCTCTTGCACAAAAGGCGTGGGTCTCACCTCTCTGGTTCATACTGATCGACTGCAGGCTGCAGGGAAGGTGCTCAGTGAGAGCTGTCAAACTCAGAATTCATCCTGTGATGTACAGAAGATGTCCTTGTCAACACTGGTGACTATGATTGATCTGTAAGCACTTTAAATCCCTTTTCTGTTTCAGCTGCATGTCAATTAGCTGTCGTGTTTTAAGATGTTATTTCCAGATAGCTACCCTTTGCAGATTGTAACTATTTGTAGTGTTTGTAGTTTGTAGTGTGTTAAAGAAAGTCAGAGACTTCTCAGTGCATCAGTAAGACTCAGTGTGACTATGATGCCGCTGACAGCTGCAGGCTTGAAGACACTCGCTGTGTGTAGACTGTGGTATTTTAACCCATGTCTCTCTGGTCACAAAAAGGAAGGGTTGTGGCCCCTGAGAACAATTCTTAGAGGTTTTGGTGAAGGCCGTTAGTGGGGTTAGGGTGTGATTATATTGGTTTACGATGTGTTATCTATGACATTAGAAGTGTAGAAGTTTAAAATAACATTCATAGTGAGGTACAACAGATAAAATCTCGCGCTTCCAGAAAAGTACCTGCTTCAAAGTGTCAGGCATACCTTTCTGTGACAAACAGAAACTATAGTCAACTAAAACTGGCTCGACAAGGTCATAAATTCACTGTGCCGGTTTCATGTGCAATTCTCTGCATCCCACACTGTCCGTAGAAAAGACAACTAACTCCAAACGCACACACACACACACGCATATATAATGTGTAAATATGGTAAAACACAGTCACTTTTTTTGTTCCCAATCTTCTAAAATGATTTATTGGACTGTGCCGCCTTACTACTTGTAAAAAGCTTTCCACTCATAGACAGTGTGAGCGGGAAGTGAAGGGATGGTGTTGTGCTCTGCTTATGTCCTAGCATTGTGATCCAGACCAGCTGGATGCCATTCCCTATGGGAATCATGAATGTGAAGGTTGTTAAAAGATATGGAGCCTTGGACTTACTGACAGCAGCTGGGAGAAGGGGGAAGGGAGCAGAGAGGAAAAAGAGAATACTGGGAAAGGGAAAAGAAAACGTTGTGGAATTCACAACAGTAGCCTTAGACACAATGTCTTTCTTTTCATTTTTGCTGCTAACTTTTTACTAAACATGTCTCAGGAGATCAACTGTAAAAAGGAATAATTAATTTCCATGTATTTTAGTGTCAGTGTTTTAGTGTAAAAAGGGTCTTCATTAAATAAGGTTTTGCAACCTGTTAAAAGCTATTAAACTGTAAATATGTCATGCATTTTTTATTTATGTCTAGGTTTGTGCTGGGTTTTTGCGCTTGCGGTCGTCTTTATGCGGTGCCCAGAAAAACACACTCTAGTGGAGAGGTGCATTTGGTAAACATGAGGAACACAAGTGCACTTTTAGTGTGCTTCTCTCTGGTTCTCATCCCAGACTGCTCAGAGACACCGTCTCAGTCAGTGCTAAGTAGACCACACAGTTAAAGCAACAAACCTGTTGCTGGGTCAACAGTAAGGGAGCGTTCTGAGGTCTCACACCTTACCGGCGATCTCATCTCACCAGCAGAAATGCACAAACAAACACACGTGCTCCATAAGAGAGAGAGAGAGAGGGGCTGTTGTGAATATGAAGAGCAGGGACCGGTGGGATGCAGTCATGAAATGTAAAGAGCAAGAATGACAGGACTGAAGGAGAGATGAAGGACAGCCTAAGTGGCTTTGACTTGTCCTGCTGACATGTGGATTTATGAAGCCATTTGTCACGTTGTAGTCTGCGCTTAATCATCACACTGATGGAGGCGAATATGTACAAACATAATGACGAAATACTCCCAGAGATTTATATTAAATGTTGTCTTTGGTGTCCACTTTGTCTCCTTTAGAGGCTAAAGGCTGCACTTTCACACCACCCCGGTGCCATCGCAAACGGCAACATGAACTCCATGGGCCACATGATGGAGATGATGTCATCACGGCAGGACCAAGGCGCTCACCATCACATGCACTCGCACCCGCACCAGCACCTGCAAGCCCCTCCGCACGCATACCAGCACCACGGACACCACCACCACAACCAGGGCCACGCTCAGGGTGGACACCATCACCCGCAGGGACACAATCCCCATCACAACTCCCACAACCCCCATCTTCATCCTGGGCATCCACATCAGACATCACCACACCCTCCGATGCACTCTGCTTCACAGGTAAGCAAATCGTCTCCCCGAGAGAGCTGAGAAGCTTTTAGGCAGCGCAAAGGCAAAGCCACAAGTTCAATAACACATTAACTACACTGCACATTAAAATCACTCACACAGCTAGAAGTCAGCGTGTATGCAGCGTGACTAAAACAAGCCAGTCCTTTGGAAGGCTTTTGAGTAGTTTTGAAGTCAGCTATTAGTGGTTTAGTATAGAAGCATGGCTAAAATGATGCTTAGAATTCACAGCGAGTGAGTGGATGAACGCATTTTCCCTTGCTGCATCCTTAATAGCGAGTTTCCTGGCACCCGGCGCAAAAGTATTTTTTCCTTTTTGTTTGGTCAGCTACAGGTCAGTGTTGGATGCCTGCCATGGAGAGAAGGGGTCATGAAGAGTTCAGAAACGGTTACAAAAGGATGTTCAGGACTGTCTTTTGAAAACTTTGCTCCACTGCACCAACCATTTGCAATTATGTAGTCACGGCATGCTTCAAGCACAGAAGAAGGTTTACAAACCAGAGGAACAGATAGCCTTGGCTTATAGTTCTGGGACGTCTTATCTGTGAATATACCTGTTTCAGTATTAACTGACAGTATTGCTCATGGCATTAAAAAAAAGAGGTATTTTGTCCTTGCATTCTTTGAAGCCTTTTTGCAGCCCAGAGTGCCACATCATGAAGTGCATTTCACTATATATTTTAAATGTACCATTAAAGCTTTAAAACAACATTGTCTGTGTGTGCAGCCGCCATTAAAGTGGCGTGCATTTTCCATGCTTCTCATAAAAATGTAATGTTTTGAAGACTGAAAACACTTGACCTAGCCAAGTATATGTCAAGATTTGTCAGTGCATAGAAATGGGCCTTTTGACTGCATCTGGTGGTGTTAGTCTGAGTGGAAGTGGGCGTTGGAAAACTGCCTCCTGACACCTCTTTAACAAGGTGGGCAAGCTAGTGAATCAGCCCAGTCAGTCAGTCAGTCATTCACTCCTGACACCCACAGCCCAGCTTCTTAAGGCACGCGGTACAAGCAGATGTTGTTTTTGGGGAAGTTGCCAGACATAAAATACCTGCAGGAAGTAATGTATATATTGTTGTTTAGAGGCAGGAGGCTCTGAGGCAGCATAGCGGCTGCAGCAGACAGCTGACTGGCTGCTTTCCAGCTGTGTCAGGATGGTTACATATGTGGTCGGATCGTGGCAGGCAGGCGCTGCCCCATTGGGGACATCAGTAATGTTAATGCCATTTTCCCGTGATTCAGATGTCACCTGCAACCCAGCAGATGCAGCCCACGCAGACGTTGCAGTCTCCACCACCCAGTGGTGGACGGCGCAGACGAGTAGTGGACGAGGACCCGGATGAACGTCGGCGAAAGTTTCTGGAGCGAAACAGAGCGGCTGCAACAAGATGCAGACAGAAGCGAAAAGTTTGGGTGATGTCATTAGAGAAGAAGGCAGAGGAGCTCACACAGACCAACATGCAGCTTCAGGTAAAAACCAAAAAAATCAAAAAACACCTTTAGAGCCTCTAAATCTATGTACAGTAACAACTGCAACTCAGGGCCATCACCATGGATTTTGATTTGTTTATATTGGGTAATATGACCTGGGTATTTTACTGTTTGTTTTTAGGTAGTTAAGGATGGAGAGTTGCCAAGAAATGTTGATTCGCTGAAATCTGAAAATATTTTTCTTTTTCTCAGAATGAAGTCACAATGCTAAAGAACGAGGTGACACAGCTCAAGCAGCTTCTCCTCACACACAAGGACTGTCCCATCACCACTATGCAGAAAGAGTCCCAAGGTTACCTCAGTGAGTAGCTTAAACATAAACACACTCACACACCTTTAACTGTGTGCCTTAGCTCTGCGGTGGAAAGGAATAAACCCTACAGACACAAGTCTGATGGACACACAGTAACTGGCAAGGCTTTTCGTTCCAGTGTGCTGGTATCCAGCTCCCACGCTCGCTGCAGGACTCTTCCTTTGACATATGGGTGTTGCACACTCTGGTAGCTGGCTGTCTGAATCCCTTTTGAGACTTATTTTTTCCATCTCACAGCAGCTCTGTGCACAGAAGCAGCCGAGCCTCAACGTGAGAAAGACATCACAGTCTGCACGTTGACATCACAGCCCTAATGGATGCCTGGGATCTCACTGATTTTTGGACTGTGCTTCAGCTCAGCCGTACATGACATCAGAGCCCCACCCTTTGATACGGATTCGAGTGACATTTCCATGTAATTAGGATAAGTCACCTCCCTGTGCAGCTTTAGGAAAATAAGGCTCACGTCCCCCCTTGGCTGAATGGCTCTTTTGTACAAGAGAAAGCCAACTCCCAGCCTGGGCTGGAATGACTTTCATCGATGAGTCTAACTGGTGTAAAGATGTCACCTACAATGTGTCCAAAATCCATCAGGCGTATTTACGGAGTGGAATGATTCACGTTTCCATTTTTGTGTTATCCATTATCGTCTATTTTGAGATGGAGGATGAGACATTTGGTGTAACCTTAGGTTGTCACATGTTTGAAATAAATGCTCTTCTGCTAATAAAGATTTTTTTTGTAATATAATGAGAGATCCTGTGTTTATTTTGCTAGATTTTACCATTATGCATACTTTATGTATCCCTGTGTGCAGCTCCTCGGTTCTATCTTTTGTACTTGCACTCACACATGCGTGCTTTACGCATCACTTCTATCTTCAGTGATGTCTCTGCTTTCTCCTCAGGTCCAGAGAGCAGTCCTGCAGGCAGTCCAGCTCCAGTGTGCTCCCAGCAGCAGGTCATCCAGCACAACACCATCACCACCTCCACTACAACTGTAGGGGGCAGCAGTGTGCACGGGCAGACCAACCACTGCACAGACATTAACCCCATCCACTAGGGACAAAGGAGACCGTAACCTCG